GTCCCACAGTCCCCGGCCTCACGAGGACGTGGATCTTGTAACAGCTCGGAAACGCGGTCATTTGTTTAATGGAAGGGAAGGTGTGTTCCCGGCACGAGATGCCTCGGAATTAGAATTGTGGGCAATGGGTTAACCACTGTATCTGAGAATCCACCAATTAAAGCATTTGCACAGACTGCCGCCTGCTGGGTGTGTCCTTTCCTGCCGTGTCCCCAGCTCCCCGGGGCTGTGGGGGGTGGGCCAGGGCTGCCGTGCCCCCCAGGGTTCCTTTCCGGTCCTGCCTCCAGCCCAGCGTCAGCCCCTTTGGGTGACAGCCCCTCTAGCCAAGGTGAGTCCCAGCCTCAGGGTCTCGGTGCCTACACCTCCCTGGCCTGGTCTAGGGGTGTCCCCCCGGACCCGAGGCTGCTCTGGCTGCTCCTGGCAGGGGACCTCCTGGAGAGCAGGGACCCCAGGTGTGCAGAGAGCTCTTCTCACAGGGCCCATCCAGGGCTGGCTGGAGCCCTCAGATAGGAGGCCGGTGCACAGGTGCAGGGAGCCCAGCCCCCTGCAGACAGGCTAGCCAGGCCTGAGCTGGCGCTGGGGGAGCCCTCCCTTGGCTTTGGGGGTCAGGCTGGCCGCACCTGCCCTCCCTGTCTCAGGTCCCTTGGGACTTGGGTCTGGCTGGACTGGAGGAGGTTAGTAGACGTTGCCACCATGCTGGCCACTGCCCCCCAGGAACGCGGGCTCCTGGCCAGGCTGCTGGTCCCAGGTCCTCTGACCTTCCCAGACCCGAAGGCTCCCTGTGGTTGCCATGACAATGATTTGCCAGCTTGGAGGGCCTTGCACTGACTCAGACTGGCTGCAGCTGGTCTGAGCCAGCTTTGGCAGGGAGGGGCCCGGGAGGGCTGGGTTTGGGATTCATCTCCAGGCTACCCTGATTCTGGGTCCGGGGCGTCCTGATGCACCTGCTCCTGCTCGGGAGACGCGAGCAGGTGCCTGAAACCCCCAGGCACTGCCTGGTCTAGGGAAGCTGTTGGCCCAGTTGGGGTGGGCGTTCCTGGCTTTGGCCCATTGGGCGGGAGGGGGCTGGGGCAACGGCCCCATCCACCATGCCTGTCTCTGGCCCAGCCTGGCCCAAAGACTCCCGCACCTCCCAGGAGGCCAGTTTATCCAGCTCTTAGGAAAAAATAGGAATGGGCACAAGAAAACCACGGGTGTGTTCGTCCTGGGCTCTTCCTTCCCTGGGCCTCTGCCCTTCCTCCAGGATGCCCTCCACTGAAGAAGGCAAGTTCCCACTCTGTCGTGCGGGCAGGGCCTTTTTTTTTTTGGAAACGAGGTTTCGCTCGTTACCCATGCTGCAGTGCACTGGCTAGATCTCAGGTCACTGCAATCTCCGCCTCCCGGATTCAAGAGATTCTCCTGTCTCAGCCTCCCAAGTAGTTGGGATTACAGGTGCCTGCCACCACACCAGGCTAATTTTGTGTTCTTACTCCATTTCTCCATGTTGATCAGGCTGGTCTCCAACTCCCGACCTCAGGTAATCTGCCCACCTTGGCCTCTCAGAGTGCTGGGATTTACAGGCATGAGCCACCACGTCTGGCCTGGGCTGTGCCTTTAAGGAGGGACTGAAGCCTCCAGGCCGGGAGGAGTTGCCTCCCACAGCCAGTTCCACACAGAATGATGCGTGCAGAGGGCCTGGCCTTTCCCTGCCGGGCCCCTAACTACAGTGAGCACAGAAGCCCACCTCTCAGGGAAGAGGCCTCTGACACCCCCACCCTCAGGCTGGTGGGAAGCCTGGCCAAGGGACGGGGCACCATCCTCCCTGCCATCCAGGCCTCACTGCAGCAGGGGCTGTCCTGCCTGCTGGCCTCTGGCACACCAGTGGCCTTTGTTAGGGGTCTTGGTGGGACCCTGTCTTGGGCCCACCTCTCTGCCCCCACCCACCCTAGGTCCCTCACAGATGCTGCAGTAGCACGGAGGCCTGAGAGAACTCCAGTGTGGCACCAGGCGGTCACCTCCAGCCGGCTCCACCTTTGCAGTTGCAGTAGCAAGCCTCCCAGAGCTGCCGGGGTGGGCTCTGGAGACGGCGCTCCAGGAGCCAGCATCTCGGCGTGCGGCCAGACCCAGGCCGGGGCCCTCCCACCCAGAGCCCCTCTCTTGCTCAGGCATTTCTACCCCAGGGGCAGTGGGGGCAAGGAACAGGTTCTGGCAGTCTTCAGGGTCCTGCAGCTCCACGGCAGGCAGGGTCCCTGGCTAGAGTCCCTGGGCTGACCCCATGAGCTCTCCTTGGCCCTTCCTTTCCCTGCTTGGGTCCTCAGAGGGGAGTGGGGGCGGGGACTTGTGGGAGGCTGTGCCTGCAATTCCTAGGGCTGGCACCAGAGGGCGGTAGCACCGGGCCGTGCACTATGCTCATGAGTGTGGAACAGGAGTGGGCGTCTGGCGCTGCCATGACCTCACCTGCGTGCTGCAGCAGCTGTGGAGCCTGTGTACCCAGAGCCTGCTTTTCCCCTGGCCCTGAGCAGAAAACGCCGCCCTCCCTGCCTGCCAGACCCTTCCCAGCACAAAGTCCTGAGAATGTGAAAAGAACCAGGCTTGAAAAGTGGCTTTTCTCAGCTTTGCACAAGCAGCCCAGTGTCCTGACAGTCTCCCCAAGCTCTGACCCCGTCTGGGCAGGTGGTCTGTGTCCCAGCACATCGCAGGGAGCCGTTCCTGCATCTGCACTGCCCCTCACCGTCCCCGGAAAACGCAGCTGTCTGCACTCTGGTCTCAGCCCAGCGGCACCCCTTCAGAGTGAGGCCTGGGCTCAGGGGTGGGAGGGTGAGTGGCCCCCTCTCCTGCCCTCTCTCTTAGTGGGAGGGGACTCATGTAAGGATGGGCTTCCAGCCCCAAGCTACAGAAAGGTAAACTGGGTCACTGAAGGGGCCGGAGCACTGAACGTCTGTGGAGGGGAGAGTCCGAGGGACCATCCTATCCTGGGGAAACCGAGACCCAGGGCTGTTCTGGGACTCAGCCTGTGCCTCTGTGGCCCCGGAAAAGCCCTTTCCCATCTCCGGACTTCAGTCTCCCTACCTATAAGAGTGGAGAGGGGTCTCCAAGGGTGCTCCCACCCCCAACGGACGGCCGCATCGGTCTCAGGGCTGCTGCCCTCTTGGGGCTGAGTAGCGGCCGCCCCTCCCAACTTCCTGTTTACTGCAGCGGCAGAGCCTGTCCCTTCACCCAAAGCCAGTGTGATCGCCATGGCAACCGGCCCGTGTTTGTTCCAACAGGTGGGCAGAACCTGGTGCAAGACTGCAGAGGCAGGGCGTCACTCCCAGACCCGGGCTCCAGACCCGCCAGCCCCTTGGGAGGGATGCTGCTGCAGACTGGGGCTCAGGGCCCAGCCCCCTCCCTGCTTCCCCGCTGTACCCCCCATCCCAGGCAGTCCCTGCATTTCCTGCATACTCCCTGCCCTCCCGAACCGGCCTGGATGTGCTGGGTCAGGCTGAGGCAGGGCCCAGGGAGGAGCTTCCTGGAGAGCCCACCCAGCGCTCCTGCCCCCCCACTTGGCAGACAGGTGCGGGGAGGGCATGGATGTGAGTGACTGGGGACCCAGAAGCCAAGCCAGTTGTTGGCTGACTGGCCCCCTCCCTTTGAGGAGCTGTGTTCTGGAAGCCCATCTGGCCTTTGCAGCCCAGCCCACCCCAGCGGCCCCCGAGTGCACCATTCCTGCCTCTGGACGTGAGCTGGGGTGGGCCCCAGGCCTGCCTTTCTGCTACTCATGAGGCAGGAGCCCCAACATTAGGGACGTGCCCTTTTGGGTGAAAACTCCAAAGTCTGACCCCCATATCCCCAAAGGGCTGTGAGTGTTCAGCTGTATCCGTCCAAGCGCAGGTGGGGATCCAGGGGCCGCTGCATCCTCAGGAAGTCCGAGAGCCTTGGGACGTCCAGGGCCGTTCTTAGCCCGGAGCAATCCAAGTGTGGTCCCCGGACCCGCAGCAGCAGCAGGCGGGAGCTGGCAAGTGCAGGTTCTAGCCGGGTGGGCGCCGGGGCCACATCCGCGATCTCAGCGCCTCAGGAGGCCGGGGAAGGGGGATCCCTTGAGCCCAGGAGTTCGAGACCAGCCTGGGCAACATAGGGGGACCCCTCCACACACACACCCCATCTCCACAAGCAAAAAAAATTAGCCGGCGGGTGGAGCTACTGGGGAGGCTAAAGCGGGAGGATCACTTGAGCCAGAGACTTCGAGGCTGCAGTGAGCTGAAATGCACTTCAGCCTGGTTGAGAGCTTTTTTTGAGAGCTTTTTTGAGACTGTCTCAAAAGAGGGAAAAAGTGCAGATCGCGGCCCCGCCCAGACTTTGGGAACCAGCGAGTTGGGGGCGGGACCCATCAATGCCTTAACAAGCCCTGCGGGAGACCGCGGGCTGGGGGGTTCGAGGACCCTGCGGCAGAGGGAGGGTGGGGAGCAGCCCGGGAGGGGCCGGCGGGGTCCAGTTTAGACCCCAGGGGCTCCGACCGGCTGCAACCCCACAAGCGCCCAACTGGGCCCTCACCAGAGCCCGAGGGACGATCGCCCCCGGCCGTCCGCGTGGGCGGGGGGCGTCCCGAGTGGATCCCTGCAAAACACACCCCCGCCCCGAGAAGAGAGCGGCGGGGTCCCTGAGCCAGGCCCTTCCAGAAAGGTCTGCGCCGCGGCGGGTGTTGGTGACTCTGGCTTCCCGGGGGCTCCGCGGAGGATACGCCACTGACAACCCCTCCCAGCCCCCGCGCGCCGCGGGGAGGGCGCGCGCGGCCACGCGGGGTCCAGAGGCAGCCGAGCCCCGCAGCCACCTGTGGGTTGACTGACAGCCCCGCACCCCAGGGGAGGGGCTCCGGCCCGGCTCGGGGCGCAGGGACCCCCGCCCCGTCCCGTCAGGCGCCGTGGGCGCGGGGGGCGGGGTCGAACCAGGGGCCGTGGGCGGGGCGAGCGCGGTTAGGCCCCGCCCCTCACCACGGCCCCGCCCCGCCCCGCCCCACGCTGCGGGTCCGCCCCGCAGTTGCTCAGTCGTCGGCGCGCGCGGCTGGGAGCGGTCGCTGTGCCTCGGCGTCCCGAGCTGGTGCCCGAGCCCGGCGCCCCAGGAACCCCCTCCCCGCGCCCGGCCCACGGTGAGTGCTGCGGGCTGCAGCCGGTGCCGCTGGGCCGCCGTCGGGGCTCGGCCCCGCGCCCGCACCCGGACGACCGACGGCCGCCGCCCCCTTAGCCCGGGTCGCCCGGGCGGCGGGGGGTGGCCTCCCAGGCGTGGGGGGCGGTGGGAAGTTCTCGAAGTTTCCCCCCTCGGGCCTGGGGAAACTGAGGCCGCGTATCCTTGGAGACGCGGGCTCTCGGGATTTCCCGTCGGAGCGCGCAGGAGCGGGGGCGGCAGGCGGGGCCAGCACTGCGGAGGGACCGGGAGGGTATCGGGGTGCCACCGACGGCCTCCCCCGAACTTGGGCCGCCGAGCGAGGCTTCGACCCCTGCGCCTCCTCCCCAGGGGAGCAGACGGGGCCCCGGCGTCCCAGCACCCCTCCTGGGTGGGCTGCGTCCACCGTCTCTCCCGTTCCCTGCGGGTCCCCGTAGGGCCCTGTAGTCCCCCCAGAATCCCTCCTAGTGCAAGCCCGCCCCTCCTTCAGCCCCGCTCCGCAAGGGGCTGTGGGCTCCTGCCTGGGCTGGGGTCTCGGGGAGAGGAGTTTAAAATGGCACACCAGTCCGTTCCCAAACTCCCCCCAGAACGCCCACTCCCTCCAAGGGGAGAGACCCCCATAGAGCTAGGGGTGCGGCTCCCGGGGCGCCTACAGCCCCGGAGTCCCAGAAACGGGTGCTGCGAGGTGGGGCAGGGAGGAGGACGGCGAGCAGAGGGAGGAGGGAGCGCGGCGCCGCGCAGGTGACCGGTAGCAAGGCCCGCGGGCTCTGGTCTCTGGCGCCCCTGGTGGGCGCCAGCGGCTGGACCTTGGCAGTCGGTCTCAGGCTTCAGGGAGCCCCGGGCCACCGGCAGCGCCTGTTAGGATGCAGATTCCCAGGGCTCGACTGGAATGAGACCACAGCAGCAGCGCTTGTAGGGGCGCCAGGTGACCTGCGCCTGGGCGCTGCCTCGCGGGCATGGGCTGTCGGGAAGAGTCAGTGAGATCAGGGAGGATGCCCACGGGAAGCCACCAGGGCCTGGTGAAGGGGCAGAGGGAGGATGAGCAGGAAAGCCGAAGAGGAGGGAAGACCAGGAGGGCGGTGCAGAGCGCCAGCCTGTCGGCACACATCCTGCCACCCCCCCCCACCCCCCCCCACCCCGGGCACACACCCAGGGCACCATCCGCTAACCCCCTGCCCTAAATGTGGTAAGAAAGCCTGACAGGTTGAAAACGTTTGTTTTTGGACACCCTGCGCTAGGGAGGAAGGCTGACCCAGCCTCTGCTCTGCTGCCTCCAGGCTCCACTGTGTCACTGCCCCCTGCACCGAACCCCCAAATGGCCTGGCAGGAGACGGCTTGGCTTGAGAGTCCCAGGTTCACATCTGGGCTCTGGGCAAGCGGCCCCTGCCCCAGGCTGTGAAAAGAGACGTGACATCCTTCTTGCAAAATGTCATTCCTCATTCAGCCCAGGTCTGGGGGACAGCCAGGGAGCATGGTGGAACAGGACAGGCGTGTGTGGCTCAGCCCTAGTGCCCAGAAGGCAGGAGCTCCGTGGCGGTCCTCTCTCTGCTCACTGGACGGATGGGAGTGGCGGTCCTCTCTCTGCTCACTGGACGGATGGGAGTGGGGTCCTGGCCCTGGCATTGGGCATGAGCAGAGTATGGATTCATGCTGCCCTGTGCATGGGAAGGAGTCACATCACATCTGGGCCCACGAGAGAGATGGGGGGTCCTCTGCACCTGGCTCACCACTGCCCCACAACTGCTGAGAGCTACCCAGGCAGCCAGTATTTCCTGTACTGGTGACAGACAGATGCGCTGGGGTGACAGGCATATGCCCACGACTCTCAGTAGCTCTGGATGAAGTCCCTGACGGGGACATGGTCCAAGGCCTCTGTGGCAGGTGGCTCCCAGGCAGCCTGGGGTTTCCAGGGGAACCAAAGGGGTTTCTGCACACCCAGGATGAGCCAAGTCTTCTATACACCTGTGCCAAGACACCACTATTGTCCCCATCCTAGCAACAGGCTGCAGGAGGGGCAGGAGCTGTGGTTAGGGTCAGGACAGCCAGCCCAGCTGGTTGTCCCAGGAGCTTAGCACTGGGGACACCAGAGAGACCTGGACAGCAGTTCCCAGCCCCACTTGCTTTGGGAACTCAGATGGGCTCCCAGCCCTGTGCCCTCATTTGCCCATCTGAGATGCAGGGAGCAGAGGGCACCCCTCTTGGGCCACTCGGGATGAGGAGGTGTGTGGAGAGAGAAAATGTGGGGCGCCGAGCCCCCGATTTCTGCCTGGAACATCTCGTTCTCACAAAGACACCCCCTCCCCATCCCCGCAGCTCAGGCCGCTTAGCTCCTGCGTCACATTTGTCTGCAGGACCGCGAGCCCCCATCGCCCCGTCACATGCACATGCTGTCGGCGGTTGCCCTGGCAACAGCCTCAGCAGCGGCGACTCCGCTGGCTTTGGGGGGCTGTAGGGGGAGCAGCCTCTTCCACCCAGCAAGGGAAGGAAAGAGGGGCCTGTTACTCCCAAGCCCCTGGGGACTTCCCTACTGGCTGTGGGAGTGACAGCTTCCAGAAGCACTGTACCCAGCCCACCGAGCCCCCCATCTTTGGGGGAGGCTCCCAGGGGAAGGCACTGATAGATCTGAAGGAGGTAAGGCCCCCCGAAGCGTTGCTCCTCATAAAGTGGGCACTGCAAACCCTCCTTCCTGTCCTTAGCTCTAGGGTCTGGCCCTGTGAGAGCCAGCACCCAGGGCTCGGGGACTTGCAGGGACCCTGGAATCAGGATGAGATGTCCAGGAATGGAGTCTGAGCTGGCGTGGGTACAGATTGGGGCTGGCGACACTGAACCCCCAGCTCCCAGGCCCAGACGCAGCAGGGGCCTCTGGGAGCTGGCTTGACAAGGCCTACTTAGAACCCAGCGTGCCTGGGCCCCCGAGCTTCCCACTGAGCTTATGAGTCTGGTGCAGCCCCGGGGAGCTGGCCTGGGCACACAGGGCAGGGGCGAGCTAACCCGGCTCCTACCGCCAACTGCCTGTGAGATCCTGGGCAAGCAGTGGAACCTGCTGGGTCTTCGTTTCCTCTCCTGTCCCATGAGAATGACTGCCCCCTGTGAGGGCCAGTGTGCCCAGCCCAGAGGGCACCCTCCTGAGGTGGATGAGAAAGCACTGGCAAGAGAGGGGACCAAGAACGTGAGGCCAGGGCCTTGGAGACCTGGGAGAGTGCTGTGTCCTGGAAATCAGGCCGGTGAGGCTGGGATGGGAGCCCAAGTGGGCGGCTCTCTTGTGGTGGGGCAGAGGGCCTGGCTCTGGGACAGTTTTCACAGAGGACGTGGGGACCTCCCTGGGGCTGCTGGGAGGCCATGCTGGGCAGAGGCAGTGCCTGGGCTTGGTGGTGTGGAGGAAGAGGGTCTCAGGAGTCTGTGATGTCTTAGCCATCATCCTGCCCCCATTGAAGGGGCTGTGCAGGTTGGTACCACCCGGCCTTCCTCCCTGACAGGCAGGCTGGGTGGCAGTAGCTCACGCCTGTCATCCCAGCACTTTGGGAGGTTGAGGCAGGTGGATCACCTGAGGTCAGGAGTTCGATACCAGCCTGGCCAACGTGGTGAAACCCCGTCTCCTGAAAATACAAAAAAATTAGCCAGGTGTAGTGGTAGGCACCTGTAATCCCAGCTACTTGGGAGCCGAGGCAGGAGAATCACTGGAACCTGGGAGGCGGAGGTTGCAGTGAGCCAAGATCTCGCCACTGGACCCCAGCCGGGGCAACAGAGCGAGACTCCACCTCAACGAAACAAAACAGTGGGTGGGGCCTTCTAGGGGGCTTCTGGGCAGGGGTCTGGCTGGGCCCAGGCTCCAGGCCTCAGGAGAGGGCAGCTCTGTCCCAGCTGCTGCTTTAAGGAGGAGGCTGCAGGGTGGCTCGGTTGCCCTGGCAACATGAGGGTAACTGAAGCCAGATGGACCGGAAGGGAGCGGGAGCTGTGGCCCCCATGCCCGGCACTTTCCAGTGGGGCCCGGCTCGATTCATGTTCTCATTTGTACCAACTGTGGGGAGGAGGCCCTGCTTTGTGGGGGTACTGCCCCCTAGCTTCCCCTGTCCACCCCAGGCTTGCTGACCAGCCTCTGGGGTGATGAGGGGGACGCTGACCCCCACCGTGCTTGGCGAGGACCCCCCGGCAGCCCCCTCCAGGACCTCCGGGCCATGTGGGTACTGGCTGCCCTACCTGGGCATGAGGGCTACAGCCCAGGCCACCGGCCCCTGTGCTGTCAAGGTGACGAAGTCTCACGGGCCATTCTCACCGTGATCCTCTGTCATACGGGATGTCAAATATCTAGCGATATTTTTACTTCCTGTGTAGGAGACCTGGGTGCCTGGCATCCGTTTTAGCCCCAGAGTGGGCACGAGGGCTGTGGGAGCCAAGCGCTGCTGCCCAGGTCTTGGTCCTCTCAGTGAAGCCACAGGAGACAGACACCGCCCGCTGTGCTGTCGGGGCAGGGGTGTGGGGGGTGGGGGTGGCAAGCACCTCCCTCTCCAGTGAGATCCCAGAAGCCCCCGGAGGGCACCGGGTGGGCACCAGCCCCACCTTCCACAGCATCCGCTCCCTCCTCCCCAAGCTGCCCTGCAGGGGATGGGGGTGCTTAGCAGGTTGCCCAGCGGGTGTGGGGACAGTGCCCAGTGCCTTCCAGGCCGTGGGTGAGCTCCCGGGCCTGGGCCTCTGCCAGCCTCTTCCTCCCTGCCCCCAGGCCTGCTGTGGCCTCTGTGGTGCTCAGAGGATCAAGTGGGTGACCTGAGGCTGTGGGCTGTGCTCTCTGCCGTAGGCTGCCCGCCCGCCCGCCCACGCGCCATGTCGACCTTGCTGGACATCAAGAGCAGCGTGCTCAGGCAGGTGCAGGTGTGCCCGTCCTTCCGCCGCAGGGCTGAGCAGGACCCAGGGAGTACCAGCGCCAACCCGCAGGAGCCGGCCACTGGGGCCTGGTGGGTGCCCAGGGGCCCAGCCCCACATGGTCACATGGTCGTTTCCCACCAGACTTCACACACTGCCACTCCGGCCCCGGCGCCTCGGGTGGGAAGGAGGGTCTTCGCTCAGCTATGCCACACTGTGGACGTCACACGGCCCCGCCTGCCCCTGGAGTCGAGGGTCTCAAGCAGGGGCCGTCGTGCTGAGAGCTGCCTGCTGACCTAGCCTTTCTTCCAGGAAACCTGGGGATGGAGTGGAGTTCTTCGCCCAGATGCGCCTCATGCTGAAGAAGGGGGAAGGCAGACAGGGCCTGCCATGCCCGGAGGTGAGGGTGGCGTCCCTGGGGCCCCACACCACGCCCAGCATGAGGCCCCCCCTCCTCTTTCCCCCTCCCCCCTGCCCTTGCTCCCACCTCCTGGGGCACCGCCTGTCCTCCCAGCTGCAGGCCTGGAGCCCTCCCCGCCCTCAGGAATGTCACCCTGGGCCCCACACACAGGTCCCCCTGCGCAGTGGCTCACCACCACCCCCGGAGCCTGTGGACCCCAGCCGTGGCCTGAGAGCCCTGACCCCGGAGGAGGTAAAGGTGGGGTCCCAACCAGGCTGGGTCTGCAGCGGCTGCTCCCTCAGCTGTTGATAGGCACCTTCTGTGTGTGTAGGGTCTGGTGACAGCAGAGAGCCGGGGTGGGTCAGTGAGTGAGGAGTGGAGGGGCTCCCGGTGCAACGCGGCAGAGGAGGGGCTGCCAAGGGCTGGGCCTGGGACACAGCCCTGTGGCCGCCGTCCCCCCGCCTGCAGGTGGAGATGCTCTACGAGGAGGCGCTCTACACGGTGCTCTACCGCGCCGGGACCATGGGCCCTGACCAGGTGGATGATGAGGAGGCCCTGCTCAGCTACCTCCAGCAGGTCAGCCCACCCAACCCCAGCCCCGACCCTGACCCCTTCCGCACGCACTGACACCATCATCACCCCAGACAGCATGCAGGATCTCCCCCATCCCTGCTCTACACAGAGACAGCTGCCCATGTACACAGACACACACGCACACAGACGCGCACACAGGCCACACACGCAGACACGTGCACACAGGCACACACAGACACGCATACACAGACGCACACACAGGCCACACAGACATACGTGCACACAGGCACACACACGCATACACAGACACACTCGCACATACACAGACGCGCACACAGGCCACACACAGACACATGCACACAGGCACACACAGACGCACACACAGACACACTCGCACATACACAGACGCACACACAGGCCACACACACACGTGCACACAGACACAGACATGCATACACAGACACACTCGCACATACACAGACGCACACAGGCCACACAGACATGTGCACACACAGACATGCACACACAGACACACTCGCACATACACAGACGCGCACACAGGCCACACACAGACACGTGCACACAGGCACACACAGACGCACACACAGACACTCGCACATACACAGACGCGCGCACAGGCCACACACACATGCACACAGATACAGACATGCACACACAGACACACTCGCACATACACAGATGCGCGCACAGGCCACACAGACACACGTGCACACGGACATGCACACGCACATACACAGATGCGGACACAGGCCACACACACAGACGCACACACAGACACGCACACACAGACACATTCGCACATACACAGACGCGCGCACAGGCCACACAGACACGTGCACACAGACACAGACATGCATACACAGACACACTCGCACATACACAGACGCACACACAGGCCACACACACGTGCACACAGACAGACATGCATACACAGACATACTCGCACACACAGATGCACACACAGGCCACACACACACACACGTGCACACAGGCACACACACACTCTCACATAGACACGCGTACACAGGCCACACACACACACGTGCACACAGGCACACACAGACACACACACAGACGCACACACAGGCCACACACACACACTCGCACATAGACACGCACACACACATTCGCACATAGACGCGCACACAGGCGCCACAGACACACGTGCACACAGGCACACACAGACACGCATACACAGACACACATACACAGACGTGCACACAGGCCGCATACAGACACACGTGCACACATAGACACGCATACACAGACACACTCGCGCATACACAGACGCGCACACAGGCCACACACACACGCACGTGCACACAGACATAGACACACTAGCACATACACAGACGCGCATACAGGCACACACACATGCACACACAGACACACTCGCACATACAGACAGGCGCACACAGGCCACACACACACACACACGCGCACACAGGCCACACACACACACACACACACACGCGCACACAGGCCACACAGACGCGCACACAGGCCACACAGACGCGCACACAGGCCACACACACACACACAGACGCACACACAGGCTACACAGGCACACACAGACACACTCGCACAGAGACGTGTACACAGGCCACACACATACACTCGCACACACACAGACACGCACACACAGGCCACACACACACACTTGCACACACACAGACGCGCACACAGGCCACACACAGGCACACACAGACACTCGCATACACAGCATAGACGCGCACACACACACACACACACGCGCACACAGGCCACACAGACGCGCACACAGGCCACACAGACGCGCACACAGGCCACACACACACACACACAGACGCACACACAGGCTACACAGGCACACACAGACACACTCGCACAGAGACGTGTACACAGGCCACACACATACACTCGCACACACACAGACACGCACACACAGGCCACACACACACACTTGCACACACACAGACGCGCACACAGGCCACACACAGGCACACACAGACACTCGCATACACAGACACGCACACACACACGTGAGCATAGGCTGACAGACACACCCTGAAGGACACGCTTGGCCCCCTCCCAGTTGCATGTGCTCTGAACTCCCCCGTCAGCCCCCTGGGTCTCCCCGTTCCCATGTATGCTCTCATGTGCCCCTCATTACACCCACAACCTCTGGGCACGCCCGGGCCCCTTGGCACAGACCCGCCATCGCTCCCTCCCAGGCCTCCCCGACCCCTGCACCCTGAGGATTGAGGTCAGGTGTGTGTGACTGGGGCTGACCCGAGGTCCCAGGACAGTGGCCATCCTCACTTCAGGCATTGCCCGGGCCTACCAACCCGCCCGTTCTTCACAGGTGTTTGGCACCAGCCCTGAGGAGCACGCTGAGGCCATCGAGCGAGTGAGGAAGGCCAAGGTGAGGCCGCCGCTGCCTGGGCAGGCACTGGCCAGCACGTGCCTGCGTGGTGGGGCATGGGGCAAGGTCCTGTCACCCCCACGCTAAGCAGGGTGTCCGGGGGGGCAGCTCAGCCCACCAGGCCCACCATACCCTTCTGTCCACAGGCCCCCACGTACGCCCTGAAAGTCTCTGTCATGTGTGCCAAGAACCTGCTGGCCAAGGACCCTAATGGTGAGTGGGGCCCCAGCAGACCCTGGCTGCGGAGCCACCCGCTGTGCCCAGGCTTCACCGACCCGCTCGGCTGCGGAGGGCAGAGGGTGTGGGGGCGGGGCTGAGCCACCCTCCGTGCCCAGGCTTCAGCGACCCGTACTGCATGCTGGGCATCCTGCCTGCCTCGGGCGCCTCGAGGGAGCCCGGTACGCAGAAGGAGCAGCGATTCAGCTTCCGAAAGGGCAGCAAGCGCAGCAGCCCCCTGCCCGCCAAGTGCATCCAGGTCACCGAGGTGAAGAGCAGCACCCTGAACCCTGTCTGGAAGGAGCACTTCCTCTTGTGAGGCCCTCCCCCATCTGGGTGCAGGAGTGGGTCTTGCCTGGGGTCTAGAGCTGGGCTGTGCCTGGAAGGCGGTGGCTCCCGGTCTCTTTGGGGCCATGTGCCCACTTTCCAGAGGAGAAAACTGAGGCCCAGAGATGGGCAGTGTGCCACCGGGGCCAGGCATGTGGCTGGCGAGAGTGGCGGGATCGGGATTTGGACCTGAGCAGCCTGCCCGGAGAGCTGGAGTGTGTGGCGTGCTCCCTGACCCCAGCTTGGGCAGAGCCTCACTGGGGACCCTCACGGGCATCTCTCTGTTCTCCTTGTAGCGAGATTGAGGACGTGAACATGGACCAGCTGCACCTGGACATCTGGTACAGGCCCCTGTGCCTGCAGGGCAGGGTGGGAAGGGGAATGGGCACCTCTTGGGAGGGGAGCGGGATGGACTCAGGACCAGGCTGGGGGCTCCAGACAAGCCAGGTCCTCTCTCCCCGCCAGGGATCATGACGACGATGTGTCTCTGGTAGAAGCGTGTAGAAAGCTGAATGAAGTCATCGGCCTGAAGGGCGTGAGCAGGTATGGCTGGGGGACCTTTGTACCCCCTCATCTGTGTCCACAGCTCGGTCGTGGGGCCTGGCAGGTGATGGCTCCTCAGGAGCCATCAGCCTGATGCCTGCCACCCACCGTGGCCAGGTACTTCAAACAGATCGTCAAGTCAGCCCGCACAAACGGGACAGCAGGGCCCACTGAGGACCACGCCGATGACTTCCTGGGGTGCCTCAACATACCTGTCCGGGTGAGTGGGGGTGGGATGGGGCTGGTGGCAATTAGGGGAGGGCCTGGGGGGTGTCCCAGCCTTCAAGGGGTGGCTCACTGGAGGAGCTTCTGCTTTTGGGCCTCCTGAGGGTTCACCACTGCCTGTCACCCACATTTCCGGGAGAAGGGAAGCCCAGGCAGCGTGTTCTCTCCAGGGTCTCACAGAGTCAGTGTGGAGGGAGAAGGGGAGGGGTCTGGTGGGCCTGACCCCCCCCATGCCACCTCCAGGAGGTGCCCGTGGCTGGTGTCGACCGCTGGTTCAGGCTGGAGCCACGTTCCAGTGCCTCGCGTGTGCAGGGAGACTGCCACCTGGTTCTCAAGCTGATCACCACGCAGGTGGGGAAAGTTGGCGTCCCTGGCCTCCACCCCCGCCCTCGTGGCTGGGGCGGAGCTGGTGACCGGGTGGGCTCTGTGTTGCAGAGGGACACGGCCATGAGCCAGCGCGGGCGATCGGGCTTCCAGTCCTACCTGCTGCTGCTCAGCCATCTGCTGCGGTGCGAGCACCCGGCGGAGGAGGTAGCGGGTGCTCCTGGAATTGGGACAGCCCAGCAGAGGGCCTGAGGAGGGCATGGGGGGCTGTCCCGCCTCCACCCACGCCAGGCCTCCTCCCCCAGCCTGACTCCAGCAGCTGGCGCGGAGAGCTCAGCACCCCAGCCGCCACTATCCTCTGCCTGCACGGAGCCCAGAGCAACCTGTCACCTTTGCAGCTGGCCGTGTTGTGAGTGGGTGGAACTACGAGTGGGCGGGGCGTGTGCGGGTGGGGCACTGGGGGCCGTGCGGTGAGTGGATGTGGTGACTGGGAGGGTGGAGCAGGGAAAGGGGCGGTGCTATGAGTAGGGGAGGCAGCACTGATTGGGTGAGCATGGAAAGGGGCGGTACTATGAGTAGGTGAAGCAGCACTGATTGGGGGACAGGGAAAGGGGCGGTGCTACGAGCAGGTATGGCAGCGCTGATTGGTGGGACAGGGAAAGGGGTGGTGCTATGAGTAGGTGCGGCAGTGCTGATTGGGTGGGGCAGGGAAAGGGGTGGTGCTGTGGGCGGGGCAGGGGCAGGGGTTCTTTGAGTGGGGGCCGCATACTGCCTGACCATGGGTTGGGCCCCGCAGGTACTGGCAGGTTAGCAGCCGCCACCATCAGACTCGCACGCTGGACTACAGCTACCTGCTGGGGCTGCTGGAGGACATGCAGGCGCACTGGGAGGAGGCGGCCTCGCTGCCCCAGGAGCAGGTGGGCGTAGCTGGGGCCCTCCTGCCAGCCACGGGGAAGGGAGTGCTGGGGGCCAGGCCGTTCAGTGCGGGGCGGCGAGGCGCAGAGTCCTGCTCGCGTGGGGGTTAAAGACATATGGACAAACCACGTGACGTGGCGAGAGTCAGGTTCCACAGAAAGGAGACAGGAGACTCGTGGGAGTCACCTCGGGGGGCGACTAGAACTTAGGACAGGGCTGGGGAGAGCCGCCAAGCAGGCGCCCATTTGAGCGACAGGAGGGAGCAACCCTCGCAGGACCAGCATGGGAATAGCAGGTGCACAGACCCTGTGTGAGCTGCCTGGGTAGAAGCTGAGGCTGGGACAGGCCGGCTGAAGGGTGCTTCTCCGGGCAGAGCTGGGCAGGCCACGCCTCGGGGAGGATGCTGCGGGCGAGGCAAGGAGGGTGTTTCTTCTCATCTGCGACGGGTCGGGGCTGTTGGCACTAAAGGGCCTTGTCCCCACAGGAGGAGAGCCTGGCTGACAGCTTTTCCGCTTTCTCTGAGTTCGGGCTGCAGCTGCTGCGCCAGCTCCGAGACTACTTCCCTGCCACCAACAGCACCGCTGTCTACCGTCTGGAGCTGCTGCTGAAGTGGGTGCAGCGCCGCGTGTCAGCGTGGGTGGGGGCGGCTGGCAGGACAGGCCCCACATCAGCGTGCTGCCCCCACCCAGGTGTCTGGGCAAGCTGCAGTTCTTCCAGCCCTCCTTTGAGATCTGCCCCTTTGAGACAGAGCTGAACATGGACGTTGCGGCAGCCCTGAAGGTGTGTTTCAGTGACCAGTGGGGGCCGACCACTAGCCCCCCTGCCTTCCCATCCTCGCCCCACCTCTTCCTCTTTCCTGCAACGCACCATGCTGTCTTGGTGGTGTCTGTTGCAGAGAGGCAACCGTGAGTGGTACGACAGGATCCTGAACGCCAAGAGTCCCCGAGAGCAGGTGCGGTGTGGGGAGCCCTGCCCTGAGGGGTGTGGGCAGCTGAGAAGTGGGTACGAGCCGGGCTTCCTCGCAGCCAGGGTCACAACGCCTGCCTGGGCTGGTTGCACTGGCCGACGCCGTCTATGACGACCTTCAGTCCTGCTACAGCGTCTATGCCAGCCTCTTCCACAGGTGGGCCTGGCACTTCAGTGCTGCTCTTGGGCTGGGGTTGGGGCCGGCAGAACCTGCAGGGGGGACTAAGGTGGCTGAGGTGTGTCCCTTGCCCGGCAGCATCCTCAATGTGGACTTCTTCACCCTGACTTTCCGGCAGCTGGAGCGTCTGGTGAGGAGGGTCCCTGACACCCCCAACCCCCAACCCCGGGTGTCTGCCAAGCATGGGGAAGTGGGCAGAGGCCCTTGGCTGGGAGGGACTACTCTTTGCTGCTGGTGGCCTAATTCTGCTGTCCTGGACAGGTGGCTGAGGAGGCATGGGTGCTGACAGAGGAGCTGAGCCCCAAAATGACACTGGAGGTGGCCTCAGGGCTCTTTGAGCTCTACCTGACCCTGGCTGACCTCCAGCGCTTCTGGGATAGCATCCCTGGTCGGTGGGTGCCCAGGCCCTATCTACTGCAGATAGACTTTGGGGCCAGAGCCCCAGGCCCTGTGAGGGGGGCTCTCCTGGGTACCCCCTGGGGCTATGAGCCTGGAACGTGCTCACAGATGATGTGTAAGTCGGAGTCAAGCCCTGACCGACCTCCCAACACAGGGACAGCCGTTCTCTGGCCCTGGCTGGCATCCACACCCCATTCCTGCCTGCCGTGAAGCTATGGCTGCAAGTGCTGCGGGACCAGGCCAAGTGGAGGCTTCAGGGAGCCGTGGACATGGATCCAGTGAGTAATGCCCTGGCCTGAGGACACTGGGGCGGGTCCGGGCCCCCAGCAAACCCAGCCTCCTCCTGCCTCCCCAGCTGGAGCCCGTGGACCCCGCCTCCAGGCACAGCAGCTCTGCAGCCACTGCTGGTCTCTGCCTCAGCCACACCCAGGAACTGTGGGTGCGCCTGGCATGGCCTGACTCTGCCCAGGCTCAGGGGCTAGGCACCCAGCTCGGCCAGGTATGTGGGTGGGCCCTGGGGGCAAGGGGAGCAGGTGCGGTGGAAATGGGGCAGGGGAGGGCTCCAAGGCTCCCCACTGCTGTCCCCTCCCCAGGACATGTGTGAGGTCACCGTCTTCTACACGGAGCTGCTTCGGAAGAAGGTGGACACTCAGCCCGGGGCGGCTGGCGAAGCAGTGAGTGAGGCGGTGAGTTGCCAGCTGGGGATGGAGCAGGCAGGAGGCGGGGGCCACCACCAGGCCCTGGACCCATCTCCCCACACTTCCCCCAGCTCTGCGTGGTCCTCAACAACGTGGAGCTCGTGCAAAAGGCTGCTGGGCAGGCTCTGAAGGGCCTGGCGTGGCCAGAGGGGCCCACGGGGCCTGAGGGGGTGCTCCCCCGCCCCCTGCTCAGCTGCACACAGGCCTTGGACGATGACCTGCAGCGGGAGGCCCGCACGGTGACAGCGCACCTGACCTCTAAGGTGGGTGGGGCCTGGAGACGGGGTGGGGGCTGTCCGTGGTACCCCCTGTGCTGAGCGCTGCTCCTGCCCTCAGATGGTGGGTGACATCCGGAAGTACGTCCAGCACATCAGCCTCTCGCCCGACTCCATCCAGAACGACGAGGTGAGCGCCGGGGCAAGGGGCCGTGGACAGTGTGTGCTGGGGGCAGGGCAGAGGGGCAGGGTCTGCCTGACCTGATGACCCCTGCCCGCAGGCTGTGGCTCCGCTCATGAAGTACCTGGATGAGAAGCTGGCCATGCTGAACGCCTCACTGGTGAAGAGGAACCTGAACAGGTGCGGGCGGCTGGGGTGGGATGGGGTGGGCTGGCCTGTGGTCACTGAGGCCACTTGCAGGGTGCTGGAGGTCCTGTGGGAGCTGCTCATTCTGCAGGTGGGGCGGGCAGGGCAGGTGAGGCGGCCCATGGTCACTGATGCCACCCTGCAGGGTGCTGGAAGCCCTCTGGGAGCTCCTCCTGCAGGCCATTCTGCAGGCGCTGGGTGCAAACCGCGACGTCTCTGCTGACTTTTACAGCCGATTCCACTTCACACTGGAGGTAGAGCCTTGGGAAGGAGCCCTCCCTGCCAGCCCCAGCCTCAGGGCAGCTCTGACCCCTCCCTTTGTGCCCACTGGCCCACCCAGCCTCTGCCTGGAGAGCAGCTAATCCAGGCCTCCTCCCGCCAATGCGGAGGTGTGGCCTTAGGTGATGGCCTTTTCCCAGGCTTCCTGGGAGCTTTCAGTGGCCTCCAGGTGTGAGAAAGGACTCTGTCCTGGGCCACTGAGTCCCCAGTGCTGCCTGGGGCCCTTTGTGCTGGGTCTCCATCTGCCCGAGCACAAGCCAGGCTCCGATGCCTCCACCTTCTATCCCTGCCCCAGGCCCTGGTCAATTTCTTCTACGCAGAGGGCCAGGGTTTGCCCCTGGAGAGCCTGAAAGATGGAAGCTACAAGGTAAGGTGGAAGCCTCTGTGGGGCACGGTTTGGGTGTAGATGAGGGGACCGAGTTCAAACAGCGCCCCGCGTGGGCTGTGTCTTTGAGCATAAGGTGGCCCTGCTGGGTGCCCATGGGGAGTCAGATCGCCCAGGGTCCCCTCCTGACATGCTTCCCCCACAGAGGCTGGAGGAGGAGCTGCGGCTTCACAAATGCTCCACCCGTGAGTGCATTGAGCAATTCTACCTGGACAAGCTCAAACAGGTAGGGGGCCGGGATGGGGCACTGCCTCCGAGGCTCCTGCAGCCCCTCTGCGCTCACTCGCCTTTCCACAGAGGACCCTGGAGCAGAACCGGTTTGGACGCCTGAGCGTCCGCTGCCATTACGAGGTGGCGGAGCAGCGGCTGGCCGTGGAGGTGCTGCATGCCGCCGACCTGCTCCCCCTGGACGCCAACGGTGAGGTGCAGTGGGTTGGGTGGGGGCAGGATCGGGCCGGCCAGCTCACAACCATGCTCCTGCAGGCCTGAGCGACCCCTTTGTGATTGTGGAGCTCTGCCCGCCGCATCTCTTCCCACTGGTCCGCAGCCAGAGGACCCAGGTGAAGACCCGGACGCTGCACCCCGTATACGACGAGCTCTTCTACTTGTGAGTGTCCCCAGCCCCAGCCCCAGCCCCCAGGCTGCTGGAGCGAGGCTCCCCTGACTGGCCTGTCCACAGCTCCGTGCCTGCAGAGGCGTGCCGCCGCCGCGGAGCCTGCGTGCTCTTCACCGTCATGGACCATGACTGGCTGTCCACCAACGACTTCGCCGGGGAGGCAGCCCTCGGCCTCAGCGGTGTCAGCGGGGTCGCCCGGCCCCACGTGGGCGGGGGTGCAAGGGCTGGGCAGCCTGTCACCCTGCACCTGTGCCGACCCAGAGCCCAGGGTGAGTGAGGGTCCAGGCGGGGGCGGGGCAGCGGGCAGTGGACCTGACCCTGACTCCCACACACCTGCCTGCACCTGCTTGCAGTGAGGTCTGCGCTGAGGATGCTGGAAGGCCGCACCAGCAAGGAGGCACAGGAGTTCGTGAAGAAACTCAAGGAGCTGGAGAAGTGCATGGAGGCAGACCCCTGAGCCCACCGGCCCCACCCACCCCGAGTTCCCTGAGGCAGCCTCCGCTCACCGTGGCCCACTCTGTGCAGCCAGGGCCCACGCTGCCCCTCGTGTGTCGTGCTGGCCCCGTGCTCCCATGGCCCTGGCTCTGTGATGTGCATGTCGTGGCTAGTCCTGGGGCTCCCACTGCCCTGGCCGTGTCCGTCTGCTGTGTGCTGTGAACCTTTGCACCCAACCCCCCATCTGGGTGGCCAACTTGGCAGGACCTGGCCAGCAGCTATCCAGGAGACAGTGCAGGCCAGAGTGGGCCTGGCCACCAGGTGGGCTTCCCTGCCCTTGGGCTCCACGGCCCTGGGTGGGCATGAGCAGCTGCTCTCTAGGGACTGATTGGCTGTGCTCGCTGAGAAACAGCAGGCAGTGTGCAGAGGCACTTTTGAGAGTCATGGCTGAGGAGTAAAGAGGGCGCCATTGGCACCGCTGGGTGGAGGGTCCAGAGCCTCCACTCACAGGGGATGTGGGGAGCAGGTGAGCCCAGAAGTGCATGGGACTCCAGTCCCCACGGGGCTCTCAGGCCCACTCTGCAGCTGGTGGTCAGTGTGAACGGCTCCATGCCAACTGGTCAGCCGTCCTTCAAACACCTGTGGCCACCAGGGACCTGCTCCACAGCCCTTCCAGGCGGGGCCAAGAGTTGGCCCCAATCTTCCTCAGTCCTAGTGTGAAAAAGAGACTCACTCGGGGTGCCTCGGCCTGCAGCTTCATTGCGAGAGCACCAAGGTGGGACACGGAGTACGGCTGTGCTGGAAGCACGGGGAGGACCCGGACGGCTCAGTCCCGCCGGCAGCCACAGAGCCGAAACTGCCAGGCCCGCCTGTGTCCCCCACGTCTCTAGATTTTCTCGTCACCCAGCCTCAAAAATACACGTCTGTAACCCTCAGTCTCTCTGCCGCTTCTTGATTCCTTTCCAAACCTCAGCCGGGGGCCTGGCCTCAGCCCCCCGTCCCTGAGTCTGTTCCTCTTCAGAGCTGCTGCTGCCGGCTCCTCCATCCTCGGCGCCAGGCCCGGGGTCCTCAGACGCATCACTATCATCAGTGTCCGAGGGCAGCCTGGGAGGGAAGAGGAGCACGTTCCCGAATGATGTCCCCCCTGGCTCCCAGAGGCAACCTCATCCACACAAAGCCCCGAGCCGAGGACACATTCCTTTTTTGTTTGTTTTGAGATGGAGTCCTTGCTCTGTCACCCAAGCTGGAGTACAGTGGCAGAACCTCCACCTCCTGGGTTCTAACAATTCTTCTGTCTCAGCCTACTGACTAGTTGGGACTACAGGCACGAGCCACCATGCCCAGCTAATTTTTCTACTTTTAGTAGAGACAGGGTTTCACTGTGTTGGCCAGGCTGGTCTTTAATTCCTGACCTCGTGATCCATGCACCTCCTCCTCCCAAAGCGTCGGGATGACAGGCGTGACCAGCGCGCTCAGCTGACAGGTTCCTCTCACTCCCTGTGCTCCAGACCCAAGCCCTGCAGTGGGACGTCTGCTCAGGTTTTCTAGTCAGAAGACCCCAACCCCACACAGCAGGATGGCTCAGGCTGGAGGTAGAGGAGAGCCCTGGGCCTGAGTGATCAGGAAATTAAGAAAACCAAGGACCTACCGGGTGCTGGCCACAGGCCTGTTGGGGTTTCCAAACTCTCTCCCTGAATCCACATCAAAGGGATCTGAATAAGAGAGACAAGTGGCCTCTGAGCTCAGGGCAGGACCAGGCCTCCCATCGCCCAGGCTTTGGAGGGCCTCGCTCCCACCCGTCAGGCCTCACCGATCTCCTCCTCCTGGGGGTTTTCCTTGGCGCTGGCCAGGAACTCCTGCTCTGCCTGCAACACCTCCTCCGGGCCACCACAGGCCGCATACTTGTCCAAGAGCTGGCGGTTAAGATCCAAGAAACCTTTGCCCCATTTAAACTTCCGCAGCAAAATGACAGCGAGGTCCGGAAAGCCTGATGGTGTGGGACACAGGAAACCCAAAGAAGTCGCCGGTCCCCTGGGGTGTGTCCCCATCACCCTGCTGCAGGATGGCGGCGCTGTCCCAGGAACCGCAGGGTCCCCACCAAACACCAGCGCCCAGTCCTGAGAGCCAGCGCTGCCCCCAGTCCACACCTCTGCAGCCGACCCCATCCCCCTCCTTTGCGGTGAGACCCAAGCACTCGCACCAAGACTGCCCCACGGGTCATCTGGGCCTCTTTAGATCAGTAGTTCTGTAAGGAGGACTCTCGGCAGTGCTGCATGATCGTGAATGGTGCCCCACACGCCTGCCCCTGTAGAGCAGCCAGCCCGTTCTCCACGGAAACTCCACAGGCCGAAAAGTGACAGTGGGACCGAAACCCTGGTCTGTCTGAACAGCTTCCCTGCCTGTCCCTTATGCTCCTCCTGGGGTCTGCCGGTCCTAGGCACGGTGCCAGGACCACAGCAGGAACAGCAGGCTGCCAGATAGGGCTGCTGTGTGGCCTCCAGACTCACCTACAATGCAGAAGGTGGCGGCAAAAGCTTCCAAGCAGGAAAGTTTGTAGGGCCGGCCATAGTTCACAGGGTTGGCGGCCACCAGGTAGGGCAGCAGGCGCAAGTGGCTCCCTCGCATCTTCCCAAACGGCGTCTCATCCAGTCTGGCCCAGGAGCAGTCGATGACGGCGACCCCAGACTGTGCCACCAGCTGTCTGCCAGGCACAGCATGGGGTAAGTTCAGGAGCTGGCACTGCCCAAGGTGAGGTATGTCCCCGGAAAATGGCCTCGCTGGCGATTCAGGGACAACATTCCTCTATCCTAGACACCCTCAAAGGGACTTCATGAGCAAGCTTTTGAGGCAGCTGCTTGGGGTACCTAGAGCATGCGTTTATTCACTCAACAAACGTTTATTATCCCAAAACCTTCTACATCTCAGAATCTGGGCTATGGAATGGAGGCAAACTGGACAGACAGTGCCAGCCCACGTGGACGCGGGTGTGGGCGTGTGTATGACACTCAAGTCCCAGTACACGAGCCCGGGAGGGAACCACGCGCTGGACAGTAAGACGAGCTAGGGCAGGACCCCGCGCCTACCTGTCTTCGGGGGACACGTACTGCTTGCCCACGGGGCTGAGCACCAGGCCGCCGAACCTCTGGCCCAGGCGCAGGCAGCGCACCAGCCCCAGGCGGGCCAGCTTGCGGCCGGTGCAGCGCCGGGGGTCGCAGTGGCCCAGCTCCCACATGGCGAGCGCGCAGGGCAGCGTGGCCCGGCCCGGGTCGCCCTCGCTTTCGGCCACCTCTGGCTCCACGGATGCTGCACGAGAGAGAGAAGGGTACTCGGCCTCAGCGCGGGACCCCGGGCCGGCCCTGGACCCCCGAACCGCTCTCCCCATCACGCCTCGCTCACCTCGCAGCGCGGCGCCGACCTCCTCGGCGAAGGCCTCCAGGGATCGGCTCGGGAGGCGCCGAGCCCGGCCGCCTTCCGCCCCCGGCCCGCGCGGCGCCCTCTTGCGGCCCATGGCGCCGATCTGGGGCACCAGAGACCCCCACGGCCACGCCCCCCAGTATCCCGAAGGGCAGTGCGGCTGCCTGCGCATGCGCCGGGAGCCACGTCCTGTTCCCGCGATCACGTGACCGCCAACCCACGTGACCTCGCGGCGGCTTCTGCGCGATGGCGGCGGAGCTGGCGGGCGTCTTGCTGCTCCTCGGGCTCTCTGCGCGTGGTGAGTGGTCCGGCCGCCCGCATCCCCACGCCCCCCGCGCGCTCAGCACCCCGGCCTCCCCGCTCACTGTCTCGTTTCCCGTAGGGCCCGCGCCAGCAGGTGCCGCGAAGATGAAGGTGGTGGAGGAGCCCAACACGTTCGGGTGAGCACCCTCGCTGGCAGGCGGTCCGTCGTGGGCGGCGGGCGGCCTGGGCCGGTTCCCCGCTGACCTCGCCGCCTCCCGTAGGGTGAACAACCCGTTCTTGCCCCAGGCCAGTCGCCTCCAGGCCAAGAGGGATCCTTCACCCGTGTCTGGTGAGTGAGGGGCGCTGTCCGCGGGCGTGGGGGTGGCCGCGGGGAGCAGGGGGCCGTCCTGGGTGCCGACCGCGGTGGATGGGTCAGCGCTCGGAGCCTGCGCGAGGGACTGGGGAAAGCTCTCTGCTTGGCAGGTAAAGCGATAGCAAAGGAGAATGCATGAGGGACCCTGAGAGTTGCGGCCTGGAGTCTCAGGCATTTTTTTGTCAACCCTCTAAAATTAATGTTGAAGTGCGAGAGAATCTACCAGACGTTCTTGTACCGAATTAAGTTACTTCCAAGCCTGGCACAGTGGTTGGCGCCTGTAATCCCAGCGCTTTGGGAGGCCGAGGCGGGCGGATTACAAGGTTAGGAGTTCGAGAGCAGCCTGGCCCATATAGTGAAACCCCGTGTCTACTAAAAATACGAAAAAATTGGCCGGGCGTGATGGTGGGCGCCTGTAGTCCCAGCTGTTTGGGACGCCGAGGCAGGAGAATTTCTTGCACCTGGGAGGCAGAGCTTGCAGTGAGCCGAGATCACAACACGCCACTGCACTCCAGCCTAGGTAACAGAGTGAGACTCTTGTCTCAAAAAAAAAAAACAAACCCAGCTCTTCCGGGGACGTTGTGTGCAGGCAGTCAGAATGGTCCAGCGTTTGACATACTGGCTTAGGGTTTCCTACAATACCGCCTCTAACAAAACTAGGCTGTCCTGGACACCTGGTAATAGAGTTGTTTACTTTTATACCAAAAAGGTTGGGAAAGCACCAAAATCTGCATGTGGCATGTGCCCAGGCAGGCTTCCAGGGGTTTGTGCTGTAAGTCCTAAAGTTTTTATGAGATTGTCCAAAACAAAGAAACATGTCAGCAGGGCCTGTGGTGGCTCCATGTGTGCTAAATGTGTTCGTGACAGGATCAAGCGTGCTTTCCTTATGGAGGAGCAGAAAATCGTTGTGAAAGTGTTGAAGACACAAGCACAGAGTCAGAAAGCTAAATTAAAATTGAAAATTTGAGTAATAAAAATGAAAAGCCTTAAAAAAAAAAAGTTATCTTTACACAGTCCTTCCTTTTCAAGAGGTAATTACTGTTAATGGCCTGGTGACTTTGCAGACGCGTTTCTGTGCTTTTACATGCATACATACGCAACGGGAAAACGTGTCGCTTTTGTCATCTTTGTCGTTTTGGAAAGTCATACTGCGTATTTGGGTTTGTCGTTGTCGGCCGCTGTATGTCTTGGGACTCTTCATGGTGGATATAGGTCTTCATTCTTTGGTGCCCAGTACAAAATAGGGTGGTACTGCATTTCCCGATGGGCAACTATTGTATTTAGGTTTTTTTTTTTTTTTTTTTTGACATTAGAAATAGTGCTGTGGAGAACATGCCGTGTGGATGCCTTTGTTCGCCCTCATGTGAGTGGTTTCCCAAGGCAGTGTTTCAGAAGGGAATTTGTTGGGTCACAAGTATATGATACCTTTTAAACACTGAATGAGGCTGGGCGTGGTGGTTTACGCCTGTAACCCCAGCAGTTTGGGAGGCCCAGGCGGACAGATCACAAGGTCAGGAGTTCGAGACCAGCCTGGCCAATATGGTGAAGCTGCGTCTCTACTGAAAATACAAAAATCGGCTGGGCATGGTGGTGGGTGCGTGTAGTCCCAGCTACTCAGGAGGCTAAGGCAGGAGAATCCCTTGAACCCGGGAGGCGGAGGTTGCAGTGAGCCGAGATCACACCACTGCACTCTAGCCTGGGTGACGGAGTGAGACTCCACCAAAGAAAAAATAAATAGAATGCTCAGTGATGAAAAATGCCACGTGGAAATGTGAGGCAGAGGAGGGAGGGAGTATATGTGTGTTATTGTTTTGGAAATTGGTTTTATTATTTTTTCTTTATTTTTTTGTGACAGTCTTGCTCTGTCGCTAGGCTGTATTGCAGTGGTGCGATCTCAGCTCACCGCATCCTCCACCTCCTGGGCTAAAGCCGTTTTCCTACCTCAGTCTCCCAAGTAGCTGGGACTACAGGCACACGCCACCACACCTAGCTAATTTTTTTTTTTTTTTTTTTTTTGTATTTTTAGTAGAGACGG